ACAACCCCTTTAGCTGCTGATTTTTACCCCTAAAAGTCAGTCGAGTGGGTGTATTGGACCTGCTTGGACCTTAATCTGTTGCTGAATGCATTACTACTTAATACTCGTTGAATCTCTGCAATAGTTAATTTGTGTCCATCTTATGTATATAATGTACTTATACTAACAATTGCAGCATCTATTATGTTATGGTTTTTTTTTTCCATTGTTCCATTTACCATGGGAGGTTCTAGCTTCACCACTATTTTTGGCTATTCTGTTTTAACTTTAGCACTTATGAGAACCAATTACTGAACCTTGTATTGGATGAAKGTCATGAAGCTGTAGAGTTCCTTTTCATGTTAAGCATGGACTTGTAATAGCACAGTTTGTGTGCATGTTTATGGTTCAAAACATTCAAGATTCTCAAGTCATATGGTGTTATAGCCAAAGTAGCCTACGAGTAGTGCCCTATCCCACAACTGCACTAGTTGGGGGCAGAGGAGTCAGATACCATTACAAAAAAGAAAAAGTAAGTGTGGTCCGCTTCTGATTTAATTCAAAGGGTACTTCTGAAATCGACACTTGACATACAAGTTTTTCATAATTTACTTCTGAACATGTATTAGTCATTTCCTTTCTTTTGGGACCAAAACAACTTTAAACATTGTTTTTGATCAATGTTAGAGTAAATAAAAGCAAGATAGTTGAAATCAAATGTGGACTTGGTTTGTGCATTGAAGTTCCTGTTTTAGTTTCCTAGTTTTTCAGTTCCTGTTCATACATAAGGAATTGGTTCCTCAACTACGAAGAATCTTGTGCTATTTTGCCTGGACAACTAATCAGAATTTGATACGGTAAAGTTTCATTCAATTTATTTAATTTGGCTATAGTGACTGTGGCTATATATTCAATAATCAAGACATCACTGTTAAATTATTAAACAAGTTCTTTTACGTAATCACAGTGGCTATATAATAGACAGGATAGGATGAGAAAGAAATAAAGAAAAAATGGCTATATAATCACAGTTCCTGTTCATACATAAGGGATTTGTCTTGGAGTAATTGGATGGAAATGGCATGTAGAGTTGAAAGCTGCATTTGCTATTGTTGTCTTGCCCATCTAAACACTCTCTCTTCAATTATTATTATCATTATTCTTTTTTACTTTTTTCGTTTACTTTATTACATATATATATATATATATATATATATATATATATAGTTAATCAAAGGAATTTTTAGAATTCCCAAGAGATGAGGGTATTTGCATTTGCATGGTGAACCACGCACATGCCCACACTATACATGCATTCCACTATTACCATGTTTCTATGTCTCTATCTGTTTCTATATTTCAAGTTACAATGTATCGCTTGATGATGTATATTGAGCTAGTTTTAATTCTTTTATTTTACGTGATCGATATATATATATATATATATATATATATATATATATACACTTGTTTATTTGGGTAGATATTGAAAACTATTTATGCAGCAAATGGAAGCGAACGTGATTGTAAACTGTGTTCATCCTGGGATCGTTAGAACTGGACAAACTAGAGATCACAACGGCTTCATTACAGGTAATCTTATTGATACATGTATTTTCTGTTTTCAAAACATAATTGCTTTGCAAGATGCATTGTCTATTTTCAAAACATAATTGCTTTACAAGATGCATTGTCTGTTTTCAAAATATAAGCTTGGCAGTTTATATTTTTATACGTGCAGTTGTCTTGGCATTACAACAAGTGATTTGGACGCATTTGTAAACCTCTCACTTGGGCCCATGGAGATCTATTCCTAATGTGTATATAAAACTGGCGTTGGGTCTCAGGGTTTTGCAATCGGGTCTGCTGCTCTAGTCTCTCTTGCTCTATTTGGGGCATTTGTGAGCAGAGCTGGGATTGAAACGGTGGATGTGTTGACACCAAAAGTGTTCATAGGCTTACTGATAGGAGCAATGCTTCCTTACTGGTTCTCTGCTATGACAATGAAGAGCGTTGGAAGTGTTGCTCTGAAAATGGTTGAAGAGGTTTGGCGACAGTTCAACACCATTCCAGGGCTCATGGAAGGAACCACAAAACCTGATTATGCAACATGTGTCAAGATTTCAATAGATGTTTCACTAAAAGAGATGATCCCTCCTGGTGCTTTAGTTATGATCACAACTCTAGTTGCGGGAACCTTATTTGGAGTGGAATTGCTTGCTGGTGTACTTGCAAGTTCACTTGTTTCAGGTGTCCAGGTACATGTGTTGTATGCCATTTTTTTAGTAACTTCGATTATCGTTTTTGCAAGGGCATTAGGACCAAAGGGATCAGAAGCACATAAGGCAGCAGTGATAGGTGATACTGTGGGAGACCCATTGAAAGATACATCAGGACCATCACTCATATGGTTTTAAATCACAAGATTTGTATATGTTTGATTTAATAAAAAAAAGGTACCATTTTTCCTTTTACTTCAACATATCATTTCCATTCAAATATATTTAATTCATTTCATGTCATGGTTTGCCCTTATATATAACAAATAAAAGTTACATAATAAGGTATGTAAGGAGTGTTGAGTTTCTAGACWCAAACAGGGACTTTTATAATTCGAATTTAGACAAATAAAGTTATTTTATAATTTGGGAGAATTACAAGCTGTCTGTACAAGCATTAGGGTGCAAGCCAGTGAATATAAAGTTGCATATAGCATTGGTCCAACATAGAATCAGGAAAAAGGTAATAGGATATCATAACAGAATTAGGTATAAAGTATAAAGTACAAACACCAAATTTTTAGGCTAGGGTGATGCTTTTAGTCTGGAAGTAGATGAAATTTCTATTTTTGCATATATATGGTTTGGCACTTAGGTAAAGGATCCAAATGGGTTTCTTTTGCTACCATAATTCTGTTCATGTCTCTTTCTGGTATGGGCCTGCTGCTCTTTCTGTTTTCTATTCTTTCCTTAATTTACCTTTCTATGCTTAAACCACTGATGAATTCATGGTTTCTGTCCTATATTAGATCATATACTATTGAAATGATAAAACATTATCCTTTCATAGGATGGCATAAAGTTGGGAGGATGTGGAGGTGTGAGCTGATATATGCACATTATGATCATGAGATTACGGACAGGTGTGTAATCTGGCATTTGTGCTATTTACTTTTGCTACTTATGCTCTGTTGCTACACTAGGGGGGATGAAGGTGAAGGCCGACATGGATGAATCTTCTCTCTATGCAGCTATGCTTGCTGCACAAGATGTTTCTCAGAGATGCAAGGTTTTGTTCCCATTTTTACATATATATATATATACATACATATATAATATATATTCGAAAGATTTCTATTATTATTTAGGCATGCACAGGAGCTTGGGATTAATGCTCTTCACATAAAGTTGCGGGCTACAGGAGGTAACAAGACCAAGACTCCTGGTCCAGGAGCCCAGTCTGCTCTAAGAGCTCTTGCTTGGTCTGGCATGAAAATTGGTCGCATTGGTATTTCTTTCTTCACTTTTTTCTTTTTAAAACAAGTGTTAGGAGCCGTTTACCAAAGATTTACTTGGTAAGTGCTTACCGGTAAAATTTAACAATATTATTTACTTACAAGGTAAGATTTTAGTCTACCAAAGCGACATCGCATGTAACAATTTACCCGGTGAGCACTTACTGTGGTAAGAGTCGTCGCCCTCACTTATTGGGTAAGACTCTTGGTCCTCACTATTTTGTTCGGATACTTGTAAAATTCTTGAGAGTTAGTGACTTTCATTCACATTTTTATGCTAGTTTAATGGAGCTTAAGTCTCGTAAATTATAGCTGGAAAATTTGAACTTCTGTCAAGAGATTTTTTGTATTTGCGTAATTCTTGTTCAATACTTAATTTTGTCATGATACAACTTTGTGGTGGATACATAACTTGGTAGTTGGTACTCATATAAGTACTTATACAACTTCGAATTTTGTTTTATCAAATCAATTCGTAAAACTTTCATGTATGCTTCTAAATGTAATATTATTGAAGGATTTTATAATTGGATGATGCGTCTCGTATTATAGTCATTTAGGACGCTTTTAGTGTTAATTATTATAGCCTATTAGGACACTTTTTTAGTATTACTTAGTTCATTTTATAGAACACTAAAATTTGTTTCATAAAAACATTTTTTAGGACGCCCATATTTGTTTCTAAATGTAAACATTTTGTGACAACATAAAGTGTCCTATATTATAGTCTTATTAGGACACTTTTTAGTGTTACTTAAACTATTTTATAGGACTATGGGTTTAGTATCATAATCCTAGAGTTTTTTAGGACACTCAAATTCATCTCATTAACCTAATACAACACCTTTAGCTGAGACACACACATTTTTTGTCCTATAAACTTAAAAGTCCTATTAACTACCTTATTATGACACTAATGAGGGTCCTATAAACCCCTTTTTGTTGTAGTGTGTGTTATCCAGAATAAGTTTGTCTTTTTTAGGTTTACGGATATGGTCCTGTCACTCTCTATAATAATCTTTATTTGTTCATTGTGCAGCTATGCTATTAAGAAGAATGAGATTGACAGGGTTGCTAAAGCCAATCGTTGAAGATAATTTACTGTTGGAGCACTTGGATTTGGTTGCTTTGTTTTTGTATTTCATGAAAAACACATAGTTTTAAGAAACTACTTATCATGTTACAACTTTTGAGTTACAAAGTCACAAATATGTATTTCAGCTTGATTACGTTTTGTGTTTTAGATACTATGACTTGCAATTAGTTTTGGATCTAAATATCATCCATTGAAACCAAAGATTTTCAATAACGTTCATTCTCTTCATTTTGAGGGTCCTATGTTCATGATGTATAGATGTATATATATATATATATGGAGATATAAGACCTAGAAATATTCACAACCATGTATACATACAAGTAAACATGATATAATCTTGAAGAATTGATATGAGTAGGCAAGCAATGCCCATGAAATCGATTGGATGCATAAGTCCAAAACCAAGAAAAATAAAAATGGCATAATGAAGTAGATAGATTTTGCAATTGTAAGTGGATCTCTTACTCATTTATATATAATTTCCACAAGCGCCTAAGACCCAAAACCATTTTTTTGATCCGATTTTGAAACTACCCCAAAACAACTCGGTTTCGATACCTTTTTACAGAAAAACGATCGAACGATTGTTCTATATAAAATGCCATCGCTTTTATGCATCAATCGAAGAAAAACAACCATTAAATGAAGGTCAAAACCGTCTAAAATGGTAGCCTTCGGGTTCTTTAAAACTCAATTAAATCACACCAAAAAACTCGGAGACGACCAATAACAAGTAAAAGAACATGATTAGAAAGTTGGAGATGAAAAATGGAAGGATACAACATAAACGGTTGGAGCCTCAATTTGCAAATCAAAATAGAAGTTCTCACAATTCTCTTTCTAAATATATGGTCAGTCAATCATAATAACCTTGAATTTATATACCAATTAACTCAAAATTAAAAACCATATAATTAAAACATAAAATAAAATCGAGTGGAATAGAGAATAGAGCACAGCAGGAAGCAAGATTACGGGTTCGAGTTGTCGGCCTCGGAATTGAAATGCAACCCGCTGTTTTGTACGGATAGACAACTAGTAACCAATAAGAAAAATTTGGGTCAAAATGAATGACATCATTAAGCCATGATTTACCGAACTAAGCTATAAATCAATTATACTTGTTTGAAATTACATTCACAATCGTTTTTATAAATTAATATACAACAATTACAAACACGACTATTTTATTTTTATTAAAAAATAATTTCTTTGAATATTTTTTGAAAAATACAAAAAATATGCATGGTGTATGTTTGTCCTCTATCACCTTCTATTATCTCTACTATCCATCTATCTTTTAATTGTTTTTTTTTATATTTTTATTTGATTCTTTTTCCAATAATTTAACCAAGTATTGTAGATAGACTCATAGACCAAAAAGGAGCTGAGTGACCGAGAATCAAATAAACTAAAATAAAATATTAAAAGGGGAGATTAATAGCAGAGGCCAACAATTCAACGGATGGTGATGAAGAGCCGAAGACAATGAGGAAGCAACGGGTGGTGACATCGTTGGTGCAAGGGGCTTGAATGACATATGATTTTGGAACGGCAAAACCATTTTAAGTTTTTTTTACTTCAAAACTTTCATAGTCGATTACATGTAATTTTTTTTTGTTAAAAGAACGTAGGTGATCATTTTTTAAAGTTCGACATTTTATCTAATTAAAAAAAGATCAAGAAACTTAATAATTTAAGATGAAAAGGTTCAATTGTATTTCATTTAAAAAAAATCATGAACTTAATAATTCAAAACAAGAAATTTCATCATGTTTTTGTGGACTTTCTTCTCAATAAATGACTTGATTAACTTAAATTATAAATTTAGCCTAACGGTATCGTAGTCGTTGACTTTCTAGGAGGTCGGAGGTTCAAACCTCACCAAAGGTGTGTGAATTTTTTTGTTATATACTTAAAAAAAAACAAATATTTTTGAAAGCAATATTATTAAATCAACATCATACATAAAATAAATGTGAATCGGATAGTAATAAAACAAGGGTAAGTAATTTGAGTAGAGGAAAGTAGGAAATAAAAAAACGACTCGTATTTTTGAACAAATAGACAAAAACTAACATTACTTGGCTAAGGCTTAGTGAATTAAGTCAAAATCAAAACCATTAAAGCAAAACACTAATAAAATTATATACATTACTTACAAATAGTTATGCACCCCACCCCCACCCCCACCTTCTATTTTATTAATTAAATAATAATTTCTTTGAAATTTTTTAAAACAATAAAGTAAAAACGATTGGCCAACTACCCTCATTGAAATCTGTTCCCTCCTACGAACAATTTTTTCCTAAAATCTCGTCTAGCTAGCGTAGATATGTTGAATAAATATTATTTCTTCAATATACCCCGGCGCACGTTAGCGCACACACACACACACACACATTGACATGATCGCCCAGTATAAAAACCAAACTCAAAATCCAATGGACCGCTCCAACCTGCGTTTTCGATACCTTTGTTGGTTTAGTCAGCCATCAGCATCATCTTTGAACCAAATTCTCACGTTCCTATCTTCTTCAAATACCCATCAAAATTTCAAGAAATCTTGGACGATTACTCAACAAGTCCAGAGGGAAAATTAGCCAATGGCAAAGATAGGGTTATTTGATCTTGAAAAACACTTTGCTTTTTATGGGGCGTATCATAGCAATCCAGTGAACGTCTTCATCCACATGTTGTTCGTTTGGCCAATTTTGTTTACATCTCTTGTGATTCTCTATTTCACACCCCCGTTGGTTGATCTCTCTTTACCATATAGTTTGATTATGAATTATGGCTTCTTCTTCACTGTGATCTATGCTGGATTCTATGTGTCTTTGGATGTGAAAGCTGGTTCTTTGGCTGGTTTTCTCTGTTTTCTTTGTTGGGTATTTGGGAGCTTTCTTGCTCATCATTTGGGATTCTCTCTTGCTTGGAAGGTATGTAAAATTTGTCTTGTTTTCTGTTAATATGTTATTGTTTTTGGTGAATTTGGGGGATTGATGTTCAAATTTGAGATCGGTATGCAGTTTTAAGCAATGAAATTGTAAGTGAGATAGATGGGTGGAGGAATTAGGGAAGTTTTTGGGGTTTTCATTTGGCAATTAGTTTTTGTTCCACTTGTTTTTTTGGTCCCATCTATGTCATGTCGTGTCCCGGTCTAATAAACAAGTTTTTGTACTGCGTACGAGCATCCAAAAGGCATTGATCAGCGGAAAATGAAGCAAGATAGCCATTTGAAATAAGGGTATGTCAATGGGTAAAGAAAAGGGTTAAGGATTGTGGTGTAAGTAAGCTCTTACAGTTACAGGTAAGACGCCTTATCTGGAAAACTTTTTGCTGAACAATAAGTGTTGTGTTGTTTAAACAAGTGCTCTGTAGTAGAAAATTACCAAACAAATGAACCCAGTAAGAGATGTAGGGTTTGGAGGGTAGGATGCACGCATACCCCACCTCCTCCCTACGGGATAGAGAGGTTGTAATTTTCCTTCGACTTACCTGTCCAAAACGCCTTAATCTTCCCTCTCTCAGTTTAACTGTGATGGGCACTACTCCCAACTCTGTCCGAAAGGCCTCGTCCAGTATCCTGTCCACCGAGAATGGTAACCATATGTTCCAATCTTACCAAGTAAGATTTCAGGTCACCATCTTGGACGGGGTAAACATCTCTTACCTGCTAAGAGGAAGTAAGCGGTAAGTAAACAACCCCTTACGGTGCTTTCACCTTTTTCTTTATCCTGTGATAAATAATGGTTAGGTCATCATGCGTTCTGGGCTATCAACCATGGTGATACCAGGTTCACGGTCCTTGACCGATATATTCATGCAATCTGTCGATATCGGTTTTCACTTTTTATAAAATCATCCCTTCAAAATTTTGACACTTTTGATGATTTTCATTGCATAAATGTATGTAGATATATAAGCAAATCATTATGTACTTGCATCACATATTTTCAGGTTGTCTTGGTTGCTCAGTTATTCTGCTGGACTGGACAATTCATAGGACATGGCGTATTCGAGGTAAATTTACAATTGTAACCCTGTCCGTTCACTAAACCAAATCGGCTTTATAGGACTCCATATAATAAATGTCATAATAGATTGCTTTATAGGACTTAAGTTTATATGAACAAATCATTGTGCGTCCTAAAAATGTTGCAACAAGTTGATATGATGCATTAGGCCTCCTAACAAGTTCTTTTATATAACATTATTTCAAAAAGTTGATAAAACCAAATGTTCATAGGACCCTTCTCAATAGCTCAAAAAGTGTTCTAAAAAGCTTGCGATAATGCTCAAATACGTTCTAACATTATGTTGTAACACCTTTATATAACATGCACAATTGTTTGGTCCTATAAGCATCCTGTTGTAACACCTTTATATAACACGCACAATTGTTTGGTCCTATAAGCATCCTGTTGTAACACCTTT